TTCAAAATTTAATTAATATTAATTAAAAAAAAGCTTTAATTAAATTATAAAGGATTTAAAAGATTTATTAATTTATATTAAAAAAAGGAAATAGATATATAAATTCAAATATTTAATTTCAAAAATATAATTTTAGAATTAAATAATATTAATCTTTTTTTTGAAATCCTGATTTTATATTCTAAAAAATAATTGATTTTTTATATATAACTTTAAAAATTATAAAGAATTTAATCTTTAAAATATAATTAATATATATCTTAATAAATCTATTAATTTAATTATTATATAAATATTTTAGATTATTAATATAATTTATATCAAATAATTAAATTAAATAATTTAAATATAATAATAAATATAAATATATAATATTATTCTCTTTATAATATATTTAAAAAGCTTTTGATTTATGATTTTTATATTTATTTAGTACTAATATTCGATATTTGCTTTTCCTTTGATTCTTAATATATTTATTGAAGTATGTCAATTATTCTAAATTTGTTTTATTATTTATTTTATTTATTTATTAAATATAGATTTAATAATTTAATTTATAAAAAAATCGATTTTAATATATTAATTAAAAAAATAAATTTATTCTTAAATTATTAAAAATAGAAATATAGTTTTATTTTTTCTATTATTATATATAATTATTATTTAATAATAAATAATTATTTAATATTTTTAACATTATAATTATTAATATATTATCTTTTAATTAAATCTTTAAAAGAAATTATTAGATTTCGAAGTTTATTTATATTATTTATACAAATAGAAATAAAATATAAAGAATAAAAAGAATTAAAGAAATTATAACATTTACTAAAGAAAAGAAAATTAGTTTATAAATATTTTGAAAATAGAAAATATCATATCGAAAAACAGGAATTACAAAATAATATAATAATAAATAATCTAATTTAATATAAATTTATTATTGAATTCTAAATATGTTTTTGGCTTAGGCAAAAATCTATTTTTAGTATATTAGCAAAATGATTCAAATGGGCCTCGGTAATGGTTGGGGTGAATTTGGGATGACAAAGTTGAGGTTGGAGCTCGGGTAGATTTTTATCGTCTCTTTTTGCGGGCTGATAGCATCAATTGACGCGATAACACGCGACACAATCATTCTTCATAGCAATTGTATTCTCAAGCATTATTGCGGAAATTGATAGAATGAAATGCTGATCAAATAATGGAATGAACACCATGAAGCAAAACGCGCTTCCTATTTCGATAAAGGAGTTTGCCGATGCACTTTTCAAAAGGCCATGTCAAGTTCCTTATCGTCATGACCAACGGGGTCATAGGACCATAGGTAGGTAGCTGCTATAATTTACCATTGATTAATGCTAATTGCCAAATAGGACTTGCAGTGAGCGGAGGGGTAGATTCTATGGCCCTTGCAGCGTTGTGTATGCAAATGAAAAAGAATTACATACCGTTTGCTTCTGATGGATATCCAATACATCTTGGCAAGATCGACTTTCGAGCTGTTATCGTCAATCATAGAGTACGAGATGGCAGTCTAGAAGAGGCTCAGAAGGTTGTGGGGGTGTTAGAATCTCTTGGTATGTTATTCTTTTTGGATCCGTATATCTGTAAGCTCCTAATACAAAAATGAATATAGGTATGACCTCACGAATTTTGACTCTCCCATGGAAAGATATTACTGGGAATCCTTCCCAGCTACCTAATTTCGAGAGCTTAGCTAGAAAATACCGTTTCCAGGCAATTGGGAAGTATTGTCAGAAGTCTGATATCAGTTCAATTCTCCTCGGACATCACGCCGATGATCAAGCCGAGACGGTGCTGATGCGTCTAGCGAAAGGCGCTCGGGGTGTTGGTTTACTTGGTATTAAACCCTCTTCTCCCATACCAGAATGTGAAGGTATTTATGGAGTTCATGAGAGTGGAAATCCAATAACACTTGCTCTACCTATTAAATCCAAACAAGGCACAAAGTGGACCAACATCATTGGAAAGGATAATGACGATCAATCTGCATCCGGTGTCTTGAAGATCATGCCTCAATTAGAAGTCGAGTCTGGCGGTATAATCCTCTATCGTCCTCTTCTTAAATTTCCAAAAGAAAGACTTATTGCGACATGTGAGGCTTTGGGCGTGGAGTGGTTTGAAGATAACACCAACAGCGATCCCACCATGACAGACCGGAATGCAATACGGCATCTATATGATCATAGCGATCTGCCTATGGTGTTGCCTAAATCTAGAGTTCTTGATCTTTCTGCTCAACTTCAAAACGTTGAGAATCTACGTCAACAAAAGGTTGATCGGCTCATAAAGCAATGCAAAGTCCTAAGCTTTGATACTAGACGAGGAACTCTTATTATGGAATTTCCCTCGATACCTTCCATAACTCCCCAAGATGTCGCCAGCAGACCCATTCTCGCCGCTATGCTACTCCGTCGTGTAATCATGACCATTACGCCAAATTCCATCGTATCACTGAATCAGGTTTCCGCCGCAGTTCCGGAGATATTCCCATCACCTGATGTCACAACGCAGCCAAAAACCATAAACACCGCTGGTATCATGTTTCAGCCATTCAATGTTGATCGGAAATACGAGGGAAAGAATGAATGGCATATATTCCGACAACCTCGATATAGGTCATCACTTGATGAAACTATTGTTCCAGAGCTACTTCCAGGAACAAAGCCCCAGTGGCTTCTATTCGATAATCGATACTGGCTTCAGATACAAAATGAGATGTCCTCCAAAGCTGGTAACTTGGTCGTTCGATTTTTCAATAAAGAAGACATACCCAAACTGGAACGATCTCTGGACGAGAGAGGGCACCGGGTATTAAAAAGACTTTTAAGGACGGTGAATGGCGAAGAGAGGTGGAGATATTCTCTCCCTGTCGTGGTATGGAGACCACATGGGGGCATGATTGTAGGCGAGGAAGTGATCCTCGGCTTACCCTCTTTGGGCGTGAAGGTTGTCAGCTCCAGCAATGTGAAGTGGTCGTGTAGGTACAAGAAGATAAATCTGTCTGATTTGGGTCTGCAAGCTGTTGAGGACCTCAAGCCTTTTAAAGTCCGCCGTGTGATGAAAGGTAAAGGAGAGATTTCAGATAAGCCAGGATTTGCACCTTGGGTTGCCAAGCGTGAAAAGTCTGTATGGGATGATATATTTGATCGGGCATCTCAATCGAAGGGAGACACGAATAATTAGAAGGTTGTCGATAAGAAGTTTACATTCGAAAACCAAATCAGCAACGAAAAATCTCTCGTAAAGTGCTGAGCACTCGCCTTCACATCACGAGTGTATGTTTGCAGCAGTGGTTACATATAGTCTGAATCTAGACTGCAGTCTACTTCCCAAATCTATTTTTGAAAGTCCGAATCAATACATAATTCGATTTCATGATTACATCATCTCACATCACTTGATAATCGAAACTATTCCAACATCTGAGATGACTACAATTTTTAGAAAGGATCGGGTATTACAAAATTTCAGATTAGTGGATTGCAGATCACACTTTCAGATACATCGTGCTATATACAGTGTAGGCACTAGTATACTATAGTAAAACTATGGCGTGTGTTAGCATATTGATATAACAACTAGTATGTTTAGAATGGGAGTTATACCATTCTCGTATGTATTTATATATCTAAAGAATATTAGTAGTATATCAAAATACTGGAATTCATTATAAAATATCTATTCCTATCCATATTAGAGAATGAAATTTCATTCCTTATTTCTAGCCTTAATTTAAATAAGAATAGATATTTTATATTGAATTCCAGCATTTCAGTGCATTGCTAACAACATTGGTTAACTAAATGATATTGAATATCTTGAGTGACATTGAATTCTGTATCACGTACATACGTATTTCGAAACAAAGACATACGCACTACTAAACTAAACCGTATACGAATTACGGGAAATACTATTGCCTACACTGGCTATATATATCTACCTTGGTAATCAGAATCATCAAATCTACATCATTAACGAAATATTCCAGCCGAGACAAGAAACCCAATCTAGACGGAAGGGACGAGGATGAGATATCGGGATAGCAGATCAATTCCCAAACTTTCCTTCCTATTTATGTAATCTTACCACTTTATCTACCAGGAACGAACTCTAGACTGTATGCTATGAAAGGTCTAGTGAACAACTCGCTTGTCTTATATTTTATCCTGTGCATTTATCTATATGCTCAACTGAACTGAACTGACTGAACTGAACTATGCAAAGTGTCGCTACCATTTCATCTCATTACATCTCATTACATCACAATTTCATCGCAAAAAAGCACCACCACGTTCGATTTTACCCAAGAACAGAGAATTAGTGCACATCAAGATAACATATATCAATCATCACACCAGCGTAGGAGGGAAGGAAATTCTACAACACCCATTACCCGAATTAACAGCCTCCCATCAATAACTTCGCAATCCCTTCATAGTTTCTTCTTCTCTCGCTCGCACGCCCCAGACCCCAGACCCCTCAAATCTCACCCCAACTCCACCCTCCCCCTCTCACCCCCCTGCAACTCCCACGCCTGACCCCTCCCCTCACCCATCTCCGACACCTCACTCCCACCAATCTCCACCCTCCGTCCCGCCCCATCAACCTCACTCCTCTCTCTTCCATTCCCCGTCTCGCCTGCCAACTCCGGTTTAGCATATGCTTCTCCCACGTTCTGGCTGTATTTATTCCTATTATTGCGTTTGCGCAGGAGGAAATATGTGAGCAGAGCGAGGAGCGCAACGAAGATCGCGGCGCCGATGGCGATTCCTGCTATAGCGCCGGGGGAGAGCTTTGATGCAGACGTTGATGATGATGATGGAGATGATGATGGGGATGATGATGGGGATATGGCATTTATGCTTGAGGACTCGATCGTCGACGATGATGCAGAAGAAGAAGAAGAAGAAGAAGTTATCGCTACTGAAGCAGAAGTACCAGACACAGAAGCGGAGGAAGTAGTAAAGGTAGAATAGGGTCTGGAAGTAGGCGAAGCGACTACCGATAAAGAGGAAGGAGCCGGCGCATCAAAAACTTCACTGCTGAGACTCTTGCACGCGGCATCACTGCAGCAATTCCATTCGCTAGTCGTGGAGTTGTAAACAATACCGATAGCGCCGCCACCATTAGTTTCGAGGTCGACTTTTGTGTAGAAGGGTTCGTTAGTTGTAATCTTAGTCTTGATTGATGCGCGTAGACACGTGCGAGATATCTAGGAGGGGTGGAGATTAACGTACCGCATTCTTTCGGACATACAGATGCGGTATAGGTAGGATCATTACAATAGCCGAGATAATCTTGAAAGTCCATTAGCACCGAGTAAGTAACCTTCCCATTCACGCAACATGCGCGAAATCCCAAAATCCTTACGTACATTCCGGCTCCGCCACGCCCGGCGATGCTTGACAGATATTGTTCCCCACGCACGTATCAAACTCCATGCAGCAAGTGAGGAAATCCTACATCTCATCAGTACAAACAACATCATGCAGATATCGATCCATCCCTCGAGGGAAACATATCGTACCGAAGTACTATTCACCGTGCCACAAGGAAAATAATTCCGCGGCTCGATGGTCTCCACCCCGCCATCAAACCACGCATAGCAATTTTGCGTGAATCTATCTGTCATGATGTCGGGTTCTATTTCAGCACTGAAGATGTCAAGTATTGAATCAATATCTCTGCACCAAACGAAACGTGACACAAGCTTTCTCGGATCAGAACAATTCAACAATTGATAAATCGAGATACTGAAGAAAAGAAAGAATTTAACCATAAATGTCGCGAAAAGTAAAATTAGAGATTCAAGGTATGGTACCACCTATCACCCCGTGTCATCCGTCGATCCTTCCCATGAGGACTCACTCTACCTATGGTGATGATGATGATGACAATGACCCGCTCATCTTGCCGCCCCTTTATGAGTTGCCAAGACGTGGAGTCGCGGATGGGGATTCAATAACTAACTAGGCACTTAGATCGAGAGCTTGTGATCACATATTCCTGATATTTGATTTCTTGTCTTCCTGAACATGAAAATTTCTCTAATTCGTGACTACGTGGAAGATGATTACTGTTAATTACCTCAAAGGTTGTCGAAAACAAGTGTTTGAAACCCATGTATCTCGAGCCTCAAGAGTGGGGGAGAAGTGCAGTTAGTATATACAAAAAGACGAAGCAGAACGGCTCGAAAGAAGCAATTGAACGCTCAACTACCAGCATCTCGCAACACAAATCACTCGAAATTGAGGAACATCTCTAGAAGCCCACAGAGTTCCGAGAGAACTCGACGCTGTGCAGCGCAGTGCAGTGGCGGTTCAAAAGATCGGTAGTAAAGGAGAAGTTGATATGATGAATACGATGAACATGACGGGACAATAACGGTGCTTGAAGCTTCGACGATGTGATGATATTGTGACATCTAGTTTGGATGGGTGGGATATATGGTACATGGTAAATATTGTCAAGGAAAGCAGCTTTCCTTACCTTAGACTTTCCAGCACTACCTCCTCCTCCTCTTTCTTCCAGTACACAAAGGAGATAGAAGATATACCAGTACTCTAGATCATACAGCCTACATATTTAGCACACCAACACTTCTTTTACACTTCATTGCCAATGCACCTTTCGATTCTCCAATTAGATGTAGAAAATACTGTAAGTCCTCCCGATAGGTCCCCCCCCCCCCTTGACGTTATTCTCGGTGACCACACCACAATCCCCCTTACTATTATTCGACTACAGTGCTCCCCAAGCGGAATTCTTTGCATAGCACTGACATATCTTGCTTTTTCGACAGTGGACAGTAGCTCGGAGATATCAAGCTAGCCACGATGTTTTTTGCATATATGCAATGGAATAATTAAGGGGGGGGGGGGGAAGAGGGTGGTTCTCTAGCGATTCGATTGAGTGCACAAGATATGACACTAGTGTCTTGACTCATAATAATAAGCGATTGCAAGAAGAGCTATGGTAGCAGGTCTAGGTAGGCACTACTATACCCCCGGCATTGAGGGAACCTAGTGGTACTGCACCCACATCATTACTCTTCAAGTGACATCCATTTAATTCATCACCAGCCATCAATCATCAATTACGAAGACTTCACAAGATGCATTACCCAAAAATCATATCAAATTCAAAACCGAACACCGTATGATTACGTACTTCCTTTTCCCTAAAGTCCCTAAAGGTATCCCTAAGAATAATTGCAAGCGTTCCTATACGCTGCCAAAGAATGTGGTATCTGTCGCTATCATATCGTAACCCAATCGTAACCAAAAGTCGCATCCAAAATTACCAAAACGTTTCAACCAAGAAGGGGTATGTATCCAATGACCTCCAATCCATCCCACCCATCAACCATCATTCATCATCCATCCCAAAGAAGAAAAGGAGACCCCAATCATAACATCATAATTTCCCATCGAAAGTAAGTATACCCAATATTCAACTCCAAATCCATCCATACAATCCCATATGATGTCACTCCGAGCCCACATCATCTACCAGCGCTGTACGGTCTATTCATCTCTGCAATTTCTCTCGCAATATCCGCCCATTCCAACTCCCTGCCTTTCCACTTTCCCCCAAACTTGCCTCCTGACATCTTGAGTTTCTCTTCCCATTTCAAGAGTTCATAACTAAATCTCAAATGTGGCTGGATGATAACATTTAATCTTCTGGCTCTGACAAAGCAATAAGCACGCGGAAATGAAAGATGCATTGTACGCATGACTTCGGCTATGCAAATAGTTGCGCTTCGAGAAACGCCGACACGGCAATGAACCAACGTTGCTGTATTGTTTAGTTTACCTCTTTCTGTTTGTTTGATTAGCGAGTGGTCTCATGTAGCACATAGGGGCAAATCATACCGATAAAATCTAAACATCGTCCGAACTCATCGGTCAACGGGTCTACTCCATTGTCCTGCACCCGTTGGATAACCATCACATTATCCTTTCCCCATTTATTCATTTCGCCATCCTTCCATGTAGCAGTTTCGCCCACACTCAAAATCTGCTTGATGCCAAGACGTCGTAGAAGATCCGGATTATTAGCATGCCCGAGATTCCCGAGGTACATATAGTCAGTAACGCGAGAAGGTAGACTTCCATCCATACACTTTATCCACTCCGGTTCCTCTTTGGCAAGATCGGTAATATCTAACAAGCTTGATTTTCGATGAACAGGCGATTCAAAAAGGAGGCGAGGTGCAATTGTTGTAAGGAGACTGACATCTTGCGGGTATGCAAAGAAGTTGCGCTTCTTTGCAATATGCAATTCAAGCCAGGCTTTAGGGATAGAGAGACCTGTAGCATAAGTGAAATAGGCAAGACCGAGGAGAGTAGATTCGGTGTAGCCATCAGTACAATGAATCAAGATCTTTCTTTCCTTTGTCTTGGTGATCAAATCAATATCACCATCTTCATCTTCAGGCAAAATCCCGTGAGAAAGATTGTATATCCATTTACAAGTTTCGAGAATCCCATCGGCTTGTTCATGTTCCCAGGATGGTGGTTGAATCATTCCGGAAGATGGAAATCCTAATTGTCGTTTACTTGACCTCCCTTCTGCAATGTCTTTTAATTCTCGAGGATTGATGTGACCTAGATCATTGCATTCGATGAGAATATCGAATTCTCCTCCCGAAGACGCTTGGCGAGTTTCCGAGTATCCATCTGGGGTTGGGCCCAACCAAACATTATGATCAATTTCCGAAGCTTTGGTCATGGCACACATCTCCACTCTCTCTTGATGAAAGAAATCCATGACTTCCCCAGTCCACCTAGCCCGAGAATCCACCGAAACAATTTGTGGATATTTTTCCTCGAATTCACTAAACGCACTGGTACATGTAAATGTATTGTATTGAGATATTTCATGTCCTTGATTGAAATGCGTCTCCCGTACAGCTTGTTGTGCAGCAGCAATTTCCCTCGCCAGTCTCTCGACATTACGAGAATCCTCTCCGTAAACAATAATGTCTGATACCATGGCAGATTTTGCGGCTTGTATTTGAAAGTTGCGGACCGAAAAGCCTTCTTGTGGGTCGACTTCTTGGAATTCTGTCGTGATTCCAAACTTCAAGAACTCATCAGGAGCAATGGCACCTTTCAGTCTTGAAGAAGTCAAATCGCCATCGGCCTTGACAATTGTGATACCTCGAATGCATTTTGGTGTTCTGCGCAAGGTTCGCCGCCGTGCTATAAAGAAAGCTTGTTGGATATGATTGGAGGGATGCAGGCCATGAAACCATGGAAAGACTTGGGAAGGATCAGGGAGAGGTTGGCTTGCTAAATGTTCCAACGCCGTAGCGACCCCACCGGCGTCAATCTCATATATTATGGAAGAATCAATATATCGTGAGTTATAATTGACTGGCGGATATAGGATTGATCGTGGGGACAAAGAAAGTTCTTTGGTTGGCGGGGAGTTGGGAGGGGTGTCTGGTTTCTCAGATGGAGTGGGACCTGGCGGGCATACTGGTAGATGTTTATTGGGAATGGGGATTGGGAAGGCCGACGATGAATTGAGGGAATCCAGGCTTAGCGTGGGAGTTAAAGGGTGCGAGTGAGGTGGTGAAGAAGATCTCGAGTGACCTGCGGGAATGGGTCTTGGTAAAGCAATTGTCGCCATTATTGAATTGAAGCAATCTTGCAACCTTGGAATGGTTAAATATTGTTTATGGTCGAGATTCAACATGTAAGAAGATATCTGAAGGGTATGTATGTAACCAGCACCACGATCCTCTCGCCAAAATGTGTTGTTGAGGGAGGAATGTTGTTTCTATTGTTATGTGTGGGAAGTCGTGTGATGGTTGTAATGCCACAGTCCAAGCCAAATCAATGGATGGGAAGATAGATAAGGCTGAAGTGTGATTTGTTGTTAGGAATGTGAGGAATTCGAGTCGAGCATCTGCGATTTTTATATGTGTGAGTAAATGAATGCGATGCAAACAAAGTTTGATGAATTGATCTTGGTATACCTGACTGTCTTTTCTCTTTGAAAGGAAATGGACGGACGTATCAAATGAATAAGTAAAACATATACACATACCCAAATGCCTTGGTGGTTCAAATGGCAAAGTAAAATATGAGACAACTTCCCTTTCAGATTGCGAAGTCGAGCTAGAAGTAGTGGGTGGGAAGTAGATGGGAGGTATTAGGTAGATGGGAGGTATTAGGTAGGTGGGAGGTATTAGGTAGGTGGGAGGTATTAGGTAGGTGGGAGGTAGGTGGGAGGTAGATAGTAGTGATAGTGATGGTGAAAGACAGGGTTATGTGAAGCGTAAAGAGGTAAAGAGCCTTATCGCAGACCCCAAGTTTCAAAAGCGGATAGATAAGCACCACAGTGTCAATAGTCTGGGGGGGACGAATAGTAAAATATTATGGTGGGAGTAGTTACCACTTTTTTTTATCTTCTTGTATGTACTAGACTTAGACTAGGCAGGATGGTCTGACCTTGCCAAACTCAATTTTGAATGATCTGAGATTGCGTGGATGGAATGGGATGGAGTGAATTTGTATTGTAATTGATGAAAAATAATAGTGAATAGAAGATGGAGTATGGAGTATGGAGTATGGAGTGAGGAAAGAAAAGAAGAGAAGGAGAAGGAGAAAGATCAAAGGAAAAGGAAAAGAAAGCGTGTGGGAAATTTATCATTGGATAACCTACCTACCTACCTACTATCTACTACCTACTATCTACTATTTATTATCTATTATCTACTATTTATTATCTATTATCTACTATTTATTATTTGCTACTTATTACCTATTATTTATTATCTACTATTTATTATCTACTATTTACTATCTACTACCTATTATCTACTACCTATTATTTACTATTTATTATCTACTACCTATTATTTACTACTATCTATTACCTACTATCTACTACCTATTACCTACTATCTACTATCTACTACCTACTACCTACTACCTATTACCTACTACCTACTACCTACTACCTATCACCCAACTATCTCAATCAAAAAGGATATTATCATTAGGAAAAGAAGCCCGAGAAGAAACTAATCAAAATGTAGAAAGAAAACTTTAATTAGCAGCTCATGGATTTACCGGTATACAAACGCCCAAAGGTAAAACAATAATTCATAATATGATTTATCAGTAAGTGGTTTATATTAGTGAATGAGTTACTTATTTTATATACAAAATTTATTTGTATGTAATTGTATACTTTCTTTATTTATAGATATAATTTTCTGAAAATTTAATATAAAATATTTCAATATATAAGAATATTAAAAATCTTATTAATTTTAAGAAATTTGAATTTATAAAGCTATTATTATAAAAATAGATTTTTTATAATGAAAATCATAACAATTTCCTTTTCTTTTTAAAATATAAAAAAATTATTTTATAAAAATTAAATTAATAAAAAACCTAGATTTTAATTATTTTTTAAAATCTTTTATTTAAGAAAATAATAATTAATTATTAAAATATTAATATTTTAAAAAGCTTGATTTGAATAATTTTCGAGATGATCTGTTCATTGATATAACCCATTCACTAATAAACCACGTTAATAATAATAAAAAAGTCAGAGAATGATTAATGAAGGAACAATTGGAATTGTTGTTGTAATTATTGAATCTTCTTCTCTTTTCGTTGATAATACTAGATAGGTAGATAATAGATAACACAACACATACATATAACTATTCATCAAATATATTTATTACTAGATACTCAGTCATTCTATCCCTCTTTCCCTTCATCCATCCCATCAACGCCTTCCTTCTTTTCTTTCTTCATGCATACCCAAGTAGTCAGTCAGACTTATTACATACTAGGTACTTACATTCAACCTGCATTGTCTAGATTCGCATAGCTCACAGTGTCCACCAATGCCAATCCTTTCTCTTCCTTCAAACTTCAAACTTCATTTCAAATTTTAATTTTCAAACAAGCAGAGAGACATGCATCTTTATCTCCATCTGCTCCCCTTTCCCATCTTGTCCTCTTGGCTTTCTCCTTTCCACTCCTTCATTCACTTGATACCTACTTCATCCCCTCACCTCAAACTCTATTTCCATTCTTGCCATCATCCATCTTCATCTTCATCTTCATCTTCATCTCTCATCCAATCCAATCCAATATCGTCCTCACTCAGAGCTTGGAGCTTGGATAAACGGTCTCTTGCATAAGTTGCATTCTCAATAAGCCATCTCTTCCATAGAGTCACATCTGATATCAAATGCCCCAATGATATTGCGTGGTGGCGTCTTTTCGCGTCTCAAGAAACTGCAGCTAATTGACGATCAGCCAATATATGTAAAGGTCAGACCTCCATCACGATGAAACTAGGAAAGTAAAGAGGACTAACAGAAGCAAGCAAAGCTAAGGTTGGGCGGGGATGAAGGAACGGTTGGTCCAATGAACGATAAAATGTGGAGATTTAATCCATTAATGGTATAGATCAATTGATGTGACAAGTTACAACCTTGAAGCCTTCTTTTGCTCTCTGCATTGATTATTCAAAAGATAACTCATACCTCACATATCATACCTCACATATCATACCTGCCGTACACACACACCATTCACCCATCAACAATATAGTTCAATACTTCACATACCGGGCACCTATCATAGTATCCATACTTCATTGCCAATTCGCATTTTGTTATTGTGTATGACAATTCTCAATTCTCAATTCTCAATTCTCAATTCTCAATTCTTTATCTGTTTTATTATCATTATTATACATTCTCTTAATGTGGGTAAACCCCCGTCCTCGCTGCGCTCGATGTTTCTCAATTCATCAATTCCTCGATGATATATGATGACTTGCAGTGGAATGAGGAGTAACAAACCATATAATGCTCTTCTATTAGAGCGAAGCGAAGAAGCCCCCACGGCAGTGGCCCAGCGGAGCGACAATTACTATTTTCATTTACGTATGTATGTACCTAGGAGGTTAGTATTCAAAACTCACGTACAGCTTCATCATGAGATTCACCTCAAGAAAAGATTCATCATTCCTTCTCCACTTACAATCGACGATAGAAGAAGATCAGAATGATTATTGGACCATCGTCATTGATCATTGATCAATCATCATGCACTTGTAGGTAAGGTCTCACACAGCTCACACCTCCGAGACCCTCCCCCTCGATGACATCTGTTTTATCGTGCCGAGCTGTGTACCGTACATGATAAGTTCAAAGTGTGAGCACTGGGGGGGGGGGGGGGGGGGGGGGAACCTTGAGTCCTTGAATGAGAATGAACAGTGGTCAGTGAGTACTCCACTGTTGATACTGAAACTAGCTTGCTCGCTCGCTCGAGACGAGTTCAAATCTATCTGTGCTTTTGCTGCATAACAACTTGATCGGCTCCACAGTGTCCACGCTCACCTTCTGTCTTTTGAAGATACTGACACATTTCAAAAGACCATGAGTATTCGAAATATGTTGAAAGTTCTACCTACCTCCCTACTTCTAGTAGTAGTTACCTGCTCCAAATCCAAGACTTAGCAACAAACATCTTGACTTGGCAAGTATTGTTCAAATTAATCCAATCCCTCTTGTCATCTCCTCTACTATTTTCCTCTCCTTTATTTACTCCATTTCAAATTTATCCAGATGTTATTATTTTAGTGTATGCAATGCATGCATCTTAGGTAACCTCAAGTCAAGCTGACCAGGTAACTATGTTGCAATTTCATAACCTAAAAAAGTTCGAGATCATTCCTGGTGCATGGAACTATTCCACACCGAGTCTAGACTCTAATATTCAACTATCCTCAACTTCCTCGACCTCTATCAGTTTCCCTCAACGCTAATTCACCAACTTTTCATCTCTAAATCTGAATATTTTCTGATTCTGCGCGACTGAAAACCCTCAGCGACTGAAGGCCCTCCGAGATAATGAATACAAACAATACATCTCAAAAACATTCGAGGACCCCCGCTTACAATTACATCTGCACGTGATTCCTTGATGGCTGGATGAGTTTGACTCTAAAGGCAGTTGCAAAGTGTGTAGGGTATGGGAGATAGTTCACCCTTAATCTTCAATGGATGTCTGTCGCGTCTAGAGCTTATTGTTATAGATAGCCAATGACGATACCATACTAAGCTTCACTTCCCATCTTCAAAATATGACATCGTTTCGAAAAATCGAGATTAGATTACTCCAAACGACTTTTCAGATCACTGATATTCCACAAGTTGATGAGTGTGATGAATATGTCCCAGCTCAAGACGAAAAGCTAGCTTTATACGGAATGTATGTGTTGGAGTCACATCTCTTTGTTCACAATCATAAGGGGCCCATCGTCCTTTGTCTTTCCGTTGTTGTGCAGTGCAGACATGAAGAAAAAAACGATGTTCTACCTTCTATTATTTGTATTTGCCAGTGATCTACTATGGACTATCAGTCAATCTCAGTAATTGCACGTAACAGCGGTACAAAATATGGATCCATTAACACCAAAAGGGACTCACGTAAGGTTTGCAGGACCTACACCCTTTGCTAGAAAGTACGGGCAGCCCAAAGGAGGCATTCATTCTGTGCTAAAAAGCTACCTGCCCCAATTGAAAAGCGGCCTCACGCCAGTAACTCCGGCACAATTCTTAAAATCCCAAGATAAATTAAATCTTGACGAAGGTCTCGAATTGTATCAAAGGATTAGGTTCTCTGGTAGGCTTTCCTCAATGATACAATACTTGACGATTAACGCTGTTCAAAGGTTTCACCGCAGCAGAGTTGAAATCAGTTCTAGCTTTGCCAGATTCTCATGAAACTACAAGTCAAAGGATAAACTATGGAAGTGATCTTGGAAAAGTCCCTATTCATCCATTGTTGGAAAGAAGCAACTGGCTGTATGAATTTCCGCGAAATCTGGCTAGATATCCATTTGGGGATGGTAATGAATATTGGGAGGCAAGTAATCCGCCATATCGAAATATTCAATCAAGACTTACTAAACAAATCAGGCCAAGAACGATGCGTGAGTATGCTCTATCTGTGAACTCATCGTTACTAAAACACCGGCATCCAGCGTGTGGAATGCAATGTTACCGGCCATAAAGATCGTGTCGAGCGTTATCGCTAACATACACACGTGGGACTGGTATGCTTCCCGATCGTGACGATTCATCTTTATTTCGCTAACGGCAAAGGTTCAATGCCTTAATGAAGGGCCCACTGGTAGAGATTCCAGAAACGGAGCTTCCACCCGACATTGGCATTCATTTAATGCGATTCATTTCCATGGAGAACAGAAAAGACAGGGAACTTGCATCTTTTGCTCTAGAACTATTGGGAAATATGAGAAAACAGGTTAATTATGCATTGGTAGGAGCCAAAGTATGTATTCAGCTCAGTGAACTCTACTTCTCCAATCCTGATCTCCAAAAAAAAAAAAAAAAATTTCCTTTCTGCATATCTCTCTTTACAGGCACGTTTTTGACTCTTGTTTTCCCTACAAAAATTACTTCCTCATGAGACAATTACTGAAACTTGCATCTCGTGTAAGAGCTCTCCTGATGGAATGGCTGAACTAGGTAATTTTCAAGCCGGTTTGACCAGGTGGTCACCACGTCGAGGTACATCGAGCAGTCCGCCCGAACTTCGAGCTACACTTGTCACCATCGCCTATGAATTGATCGAGCCGTTGATGAACCCTCTTCTCTTGCCAGAGGACAGAGCCTTGGACGATTTTCGCTTTGCGGAAGATATTCTTCACGAGACTGCGGTAAGTTGCATTCGAATCTCGTATTGGCTCGCCATTGATAAAATCAGCATGCTATGGGTCACCAAATGGTCAGAATGAACAAAGAACTTGAGGATTGGGGCTGGGGTGAGCCTTACTTTGACAACGAGCCTATACCAGAATTGTAAGTCAAAAAGCATTCGTTTTTGTTGGAGAAGCTAACTATGACATAGGGGATTCTCCGCAACAAATCAGGTATGTCTGTGAGTCGCGATCCTTTTCAGGATTTTCATATTAGTCCTTGTTAACCCGCCTTTCTAAGGTATTTGGTGGCATCTCGCTTTCGGTTATCAATCCTGTAGACACTCCGGGACACTCCTGCGGAGGTATAATCCTGTGAGCAACTCTGATGTCCCCATTTTATCCCGCATTGCTTCAATCTGATATCAATGTTAGCTATAATTGGCCTACATACAGACATGAGCTTTATACGTCTAATATGCCCGTGCTAGCTCCGGAAAATCAAAAGAATTGGGAAAATATAATGTACTATCCGATTCCTGTCTCTTATTTTATGAGCCTCGAGTGTGAAGAATTTTGGGACATTTACGTGAGGAAGTAAGTTTAATCGTCCAAGATCTGCTCAAGGATAGTCTGGGAATATGGCCATTAATCTTACTTATAACCACACAGATTTGGTTCAAAGGCAACTCAAGCGGGCCCCAAAATAATAGGTGTTCTTCGACGAAGAGGTGAGACTGCGGCTGCTCTCAGACATACTACGGGTATTCTGGGGCCTGAGAAAAAGGCCCCAGGAGTTTTATCTAGAAGAAAGACTAAAGTCACCCATTGGTTTGACTCCGAAAAGAGAAGATTGACTTTAATAATTAAGGAAGCATCAAAAAATGTCCATCCGAAGGTCTTGTCACCAAGACTTCCTACCGGGGAACATGGTTTTCAGCCCATCGTCGGTCGTGCCGATAGAGCTGATGCTGTCGAAATGGATTGCTGTCCCAGGTACGATGAGATCAGAATGTATCTAGAACGAAACAAGTTCGCACTTGCTTTACACACATTTCAGTATCAATTGCCTGCGCATTTGATCAGGTGCTATATCCTTCGTCACGGTGGAATCAACTTGACGAATGGGGAATGGAAAACATTCCTACTTGTGGCGAACACGAAAGATGAACTCTTCTAGTAGGATATCCGATTGTTTCCAGTCAGTCTTTGATACGTTTGCTAATTGAAATTAGCTACTCTCTTGCCGCGTATGGCGTCATTCAAGTCAACTATAAAGGCTGGATGGACCCCACGCCACCACAGTCAACAGAAATGAAAGTACCTCCGCAGCCCGACCCACAACTCACAGAAATATTTGATTTCATCTGTCGAAGGAATCTCAAAGATGTAGATCCACACCAAGAATCCAGAGATATCGACGCGTATCTTTTGATGTACGACTCGAATACAATATGGAAGAGAGAGAAATGCAAAGGTACAAGAACAGCACTCCTGGAGCATCCTGACTTACCAGACGGTTTTACCGAAGACGAAGCGGGCGAGGAAATCTTCATGGCGTGTGTGTGGCATTCTCCGTACTTTACAGATGCGCCTTATCGTCAGGGAGTCGTCCGACGAGCGAGTCTGGATGCGCCTGGGATTGGCCCTTATGTAGCGCCGCCGCTGAAGAATATTCATCAAAATCTGACGCGGGGAGATCCGATGCGATTAGGTATTAATGATATACTTGGCGAGGATGCTGATGAAGTGACTATGTGATGAAGATTGAGGTTTCGTGTTGTTAAGACCGAGATTGGAGAGGGTGATAGGAGCGGCAGATATGGGTTTGTAAATCGCATAGATATTAGGGTTTGGATGATGGTAGTCTATTTCTCGTTTATATAGTGAGAGTTAGTGGTACGTCATTGTCTAGCGAAGGAGACCTTGATGGATTGGGATGAGGAGAGGTATTGATGTATTTCTCGCACAACAGTATGGGAGCAGAAGGCGGGCAAAAGAAGTTTCTAAACCAAAGTGCGGGCTTAGACTGTTGGTTTGTTTGTTTATATTTCATTTATACGTACACAATTTAAGGTTTTCTTCTCAAGTTCTCAAAAGTTTCCATATCACCGATATTGAGTTTATTCCTAATGATTCGTAGCATCTTGATGGATACCTAATATATGCAGTGAATGAATAAATACAACACGGCGAATACAAACAGTGCATCAGACGATCAAGATACTAGATGGTCAGAAAATTAAAACAAAAACAAGACGCCCCGTGGACAATCTATTGCAGATAATCTATCCTCTCAAACCTTGTCTCGAGATGAGTTGTTCGATCTTTTCTTTTCTTTTCTTTTCTGGATAAATAAACAAGAAACTCGGATGCGCTTCTATATTCGGATAGATAAATTAATAGGGAAGGGGTTTGGGTTTGAATATCTGATTGACTTTGGGTGAGAGGTGATGGGTGTGTAATGGAGGGGGGTGTATGAAGGAGGGAGGTATGTATATATATAATGTGCTAGGGGAGAGAAGGGATATAGATAAATAGATACGTAGATTACCAAGGTTAGTGAATAGGAAGATAAATCTTTCTTTTTGGTGAGTTGAGATTGTGGATTGTGAGTAATTATGGAGTATGCGTTCGTTCGGTATCTATATATAGTGGATTGGGGAGGCTGAGGTGGGAGGATTATTTTGGTGTTTGAATCATGATGTCTCATATGGTTTTGATTTTGATTTTGAGCAGCTGCGAGGAGGTGTAAGATGAGGGATTCTTTGAGTGGGAAGGTAGGTATTAATTTTACATTGAATGGATCAAGTGGATGGGTATGTGGGTAGGTAGGTATGGAGTATGAAATGGAAAGGATGATTGATATCAAGACGTTTCGAATGCATTCGCGTGGTTTGTGTGCTTATGATCTTTTTGCATTATTCTTAGATCTCGCTAACCCAAGAGATATAATAATGAGTCTACAAACATATTAATTGCTTCAGGTATCGTCTAGGGGGCTATATAACCATAGCCTGTACCCCCTTCGCCGTCGAATCCTCCTCGTTTTCAATTTCCTCTTCGCTCTCCTCATCCAGGTCCTCTAGAGGATACGTCAGTATCGCGGCAATACCGCCTAATCCCTCCAACCTCTTTCCACTTTCATGATCACTACTTAACACCCTCGCTTCTCCCCCATCGTTTTTAACCTTATCTACCACTTTGACCCATCTCTTCCTAACTCCTATCTCCTGACTTCGAAACAATTCGTTACTTATTAATAGAACCCCACCACCTGCTCCTACCGCACCCTGCTCAACTGCTTTCTCCACTTCAGCCGGTCCATACCATGCTCTACCATCATCTTTTCGAAGCATCGTCATAAACTCATCCATGAAGCGGGTTTCGCGGGCGTATTTCGTATTGCTAAGTTTAGCCAATACTTCTGGGCTCGTGAGGATCTCGTTGAGACTGTGAAGATGGCCAGAACTGCTGTGTACCACGACGAAATTATTCTTATTGGCTAGTACGGCTTTATTCCCTGTCCTACTTGCTTCCTCCAGTATATATTTCTGAAACCCTTGTGCGACAAATCCGGGACTTGCGAGTAATAATGGGCGTTGTTGAGTAATATCTACATATCTCAAGAGTGTTTCGAGTACAGTCTGGTAAAAGCGCTTCATGCCACTATCGTAATCTCCAGCCATTCCGGCCCTCTTTTTCGGTATCCTGGTTTCGATTCTCTGCTTTAAAATGGTTTGATGTTCAGTGATTAAACATATATTCGCCATTCCCTCTTGCATCACGATCGCAGGCACTACGCCCTCCTTGTCCTCTCGTATGGCTTCTTTCACAACATCCAGAGCTACGGAATCCCAGCCATCGATTTTGGCGATTGTGAATTTGCGGTTCAGTTCCAGATCGAGAGTATGATATGCGCCGACCTTGACGTATAAGTTCTCCTCACTTATGCGACCTTTGACATGTAATTGACCGGCTTGAGGATCGAAATCTAAAGATACGACGCTGATGGATAAGGTACAGTGTGTGCGGGTTGTGGTTACGCTTCCGGTGGCGGTTTCTCTGCTAATCTTGCGGAGAGCGCTGGCGCGAAGGATGTCGGTGGGGGTTATGAGGTTATAGGCATGCCACTAAACATGTTAAATTGAATGAGTTAAAGGGGAGAATAGGGAGCGGGCGAACCATATCTTCTGGTTCTTCTGGCATAAGAGTGATGGTTCCAGAGCCATCACGCTCGATATGTTGTTCAAGGAGGCGCATAACTTTTGGTTTCTGCAGATGCGTTTTATTCTTGAAAGATTTATTTGTATAATGTATTATATGTAGAACTTTCCAAAGTATTATGGTCTCTCTCAAGTAAATTTTGTGGTGTAAAATTTGTAGGAAATTGTGTCGCAAGGTTGGAAGGAATTTACTCTATAGACTTGGGAGAAAAAAATATGATGATGATTTCATCGTGGGCTAAATGATGGCGGGGTATCTAGTGTGCAGCCGGTGTCGTACTAAAACTTAGTCTACAAGTCTATAAAAGGTTGAATGATGCTGTCCTATAGCTAGTTAATACTTTTAATCTGAGAAATATACATGAAGGTATGGAGGTAGGTATGGAGGTAGCTCGACATTCATACATTTCGATATTATCTCGTGCGATCGGATTGATAATTCTTTTGATATGACTGGAGAATCGTTTTGGTTTCAACGGGTGTGAAATTCAATGATAATAATAATAAGATCAACAGATGGCTCGAGGGTGATCAAAGAATCATCTTATCAATGCTTATATAAGCTTGAATGTCTTCATCTTATCTGTATTATCACGTGCTAGTATATGCACATGGCAGCTCTTAGAAAGGATCTCGACCACCACCACCACCATTGTGTTGAGGTGATGTTACAACTGGAAGAACTTTAAGACCCAGTATCTGGTATGTCAAAAGATACAGGGTTGAAGAAGTTATCACCACGTGTGATCAAACTCCTTCTCTCTCTAATATGTATTTTGATATAAATCTACCGTTCTAGAGCAAAAACGAAGAAGCCTCCACGGTAGTGGCCAAGCGGAGCGACATTTATCGAATACATCCATATACAAGGACCACCGTATACATATTACTACTCCATCTAGTGCTTTGAAGATCTTGTTGGCACCTGTTCAACCTTGCCCTACTCAGCAATTATAAATCCGTCACGTGTCTGTCATTCTTCATCGTCGGACTCGGAGTTAAGGTTAAGCAAAAACAGAGATATTTGAAATCGAGGGGGCAAGGTTACCGCGGAAATACATCAGGTATCTAAATTGAGTACTTAGGTAGGCCTGTTCCTCCTCTTCTTTGCTGCGTTTTCCAGTTAGATTTTTTATATCATGAGATCTTCTTTAACATCACATCTCAATCTCATAAGAAATCAATTCAAACCATTGGTTCAAGCTACTCATTCAAGATCGTTTACAGCTTCTTCAAAAAAGTACGTACTACGCGATGAGTATCTCACTTAATGCATCCTCTCTTTGTTACCTTGCATCGAATGTGTTTTCAAATCCAGGATGTTTTGATTTACTCAGGTACCATGGAATTGTGTTCCCCTTGAACTCTAGATATTTCTCATCGGTCACTGCCATTCTAGATTCTACTACACTCTTTCTACATAACTCATCATTGATTGGACCTCGAGACTAACTTATATTCCAGCAACAATATGACAAAATTCGATATCAATTCAAAGCTTCGTATGAACTCGGGATATGATATTCCTATCCTGGGGTATGGAGTTTACCAAACGTACGGAGATACCACCATCAAGGAATATGGGTCAAACTAATATCGAATTTAGTCCAGCATCTCAATGTGAAGATCTAGTGACCAAATCCTTTGATGCGGGTTACCGACATGTAAGAACAGTTCCAAGAAAAAGGGCTGTTGGTACTCCTCTAACACGGCACAGGTCGATTCAGCAGCAGCATATCGAAATGAAGGTCCTTGCGCCGTTGCAGTTCATAAATCCAGCATTCCACGTGAAGACATTTTCTTCACTAGTAAAATTCCACCTCGTGCCTTGAGTTATGAGAATACCAAAGCACAAGTTACCAAAACTCTTATGGAAACTGGGCTTGACTACATTGATCTTATGCTCATTCATGCTCCTTATGGCGGGCGAGATGCTCGTAAAGGTGCTTGGAAAGCTCTAGTTGAGGCTCAGGAAGAAGGAAAAATTCGCAGTCTTGGCGTCAGCAACTATGGTGTTCATCATCTGGACGAAATGGAAGTTTATATAAAAGAACTGGAGGAGGAAAGAGGGAAGGGTAGAGGTGGCGTTATTGATGTTGGTCAATGGGAACTCCATCCAGTAAGTTATTTTATAGCCTGCTCATTTCAATCCCCTCTATCTTTCAAATTCGGTACACGACCATCCAATCAAGGATTGATTTTGGGATGACTCCTCTTGAGATACTTCTCTCGTGCTTCCCGTAAAAAAATTTCGTCTCCAACTGCCCCTCGTTGCCTTGTTATAGATATCGATCATATTTCTTCCGAGTTACGATAGGACTGACTTTGAACTAGTGGCTTGCTCGAGCTGATATTGTTTCATGGTGTGAGAAACGAGGCATTATTTTAGAAGCATACTCCCCTCTTGTTCGTGGCGAGAGGCATGACTCAGAACTGCTTCAACCACTCGCTAAGAAATACAACAAAACCTCGGCCCAAATCCTGCTAAGGTGGAGTTTACAAAAGGGCTTTGTACCCTTACCAAAAACTGTTACCCCCAGCAGAATTAAGGAAAATGCCGACATTTATGATTTCGAGCTCACGGCAGGGGAGATGAATGGTCTGAAAACCGGAGACTATTATGTATGTGCTTGGGATCCTACTGTCGCTACTCTTGATCAATAGATGCAGCAATTTGAAGATCTATTGGAGATCTAGTGAATTAAGGATTTTGCTTTGGAATTGCCCAATTCTCAGCGCGTAAATCATACATTAATAGCTAAGATTCGTCCAATGAACGCTGCTGTCATCTACAAAAATGATTCATCTGTATCTGAAAAGTGCATTGAAAGGGGATAGCCATGTGCTTTCAACATGATGCAACTGATAAACTAATACACTCGCTTAGGTAGTACTCAGGTAAATTAAAGCTCCATTACATAAAGTACTTCAAACTTCGACATATGACACCACATGATAACAATCTAGCGTTCCCGTGACCTTGATGGTTTTGGGAAGATCAAGAAGGTCGATGCAATTAGATGGAAAAGTCACATCAGTTTTCATCTTAGTCTTGAGTGTTATCGCGGCTATATTAGAAGCAGAACGCTATAAAAAAAAAATCAACTCCGACCAGTGATAGCATCGAGCTATTGCTAGAATATATAGGTACTATCCCATCTTACGATCACCCTGTACACACGAGTAAATATGAATCTGCCCGCCTTTCCTGTTTCAGATAATTACGTCAAGGGCTGAGTCTAGTAGGTATTAACCGAACAGAGCTTCTTGGTAGGTCAATTGATAGGTCAATTTGAAACTGCTGTGGAAGGTCTGCTGGCTTGAGATAGCCTATGATATATGGATATTTAAGCATTTCATCTGGACTTCCATAACTAACTTTCTTTTTCTCACATTGGTTTTCTCCTACCGCTTCATAAGGTATTTGTCTACCAGGATCGATCATGCGATTCTATTGCATGATAGCACATACTATGAGGCCGTAGAGTTTGTTGTACAATGTAACCAGGTGAATTACAAAATAGTTCAACATAATACAATTTGACTTCACGAGAAAGGCATGATCAGCTTTGTTTAAGTAAATTCCATTCCATTTAATCATAATATACCAATACACTTTTCACATTATGCCTTCGATAGAACGCCAAATAAGAAACCCTAGCAACCTCCAACTCCCTAGATTAGTACTCATTCCTCCATGTCCTCATCCTCATTCTTTCCCGTTGGTACTTTAGTAAGAACATCAAAAGCTCCAGTGCCGACCTTGCTCATCCTTCCTATCACAATCCTACTACTTGGGTTGGCCAAGTCATCCCAATCACATTCTGCGACTGCATCTGCCAAGAAACCAACGGTTGTTTCGAAACTCATCTTCATGAAAGGACTGACACTGCCCTTCATTCCATTTCGGTTGAACGGACTGAAGCCACCACCTCTGGTCATGTAGTCTGCAATCAGATTCAAATGGCGCATATCTACGGCGATAGCGTGACCATCGAAAACGCTGTGCAACTCCTGGACGATGGTTGATCGACAAGCCTCCACACCATAGTTCTCAAGCATTGCAGCGATGTCGTTGGTAGAGATCTTGTTGGGGTTGATAAATGCGGCATAGTTTTGCATTGCCTTAAGGTTGACACCCTCGGTATGAACCACTGGTATCTTAACCATCTTTCCTGTCTTGAAATCCTTGACTTCGTTATCCCCATCATAGGTACATGATCCAATGCCTGGAATATGTTGAATGAGGCAAGATCGAAGAGCTTCTTCAACAATAGAAAGCATGAGAACCTTAGGAACATCGGCATCATATTCAAGGCTAACATCGCACCACTCTGCTTTATCCTGGTCGAAGCGGAAACGAGTGATATCTTCGCATCGCTTCTTAACTTGGGCTTCGAGCTCCTCGGACGCAGCGGTTGTCTTGCGCTTTTTACGTTCTCCATTCTCGTCATCACCTTCATCTTCATCATCACTTTGTGGTGCACGTGGACTACCCCCAATGCCCTCGTCTTCCATGTCTTCGGCATCTTCGGGCTCAGCATTTTGTGCTTGAACCGCATCATCTTCATCGTCGTTTGCAGCGTAACTGACAGCTTCAGAGCGGTTTGCTTTCTGCTTGTCATTGGTTGCATCATCATCACCATCGTCATCTTCGTCATCTTCACCCATTTCTCTCTCTGCATCTGGTCTAGCCTCTTCTATAGTTCCGACAGATTTTCCAATTTCCGGTACTGCAGCGGTGTTTGCTTTACCAGCCTTTTCGACCTTTTTTCGTCCTAGAGCCTTGCGTGTAAGATGTTGAAGTTTCGATGTGAACCTTCGTTGAAGTGTGAAAAGAACATCATCGATGTCAATGGCGTAGGTTTCACAGTACTCCTTAGAAGGGAAAAGCTTGATGTGAATATCATAGATCTTAGCTTGCTGGAAAGCTACTCCACGTCCAATTCGCTCCTTGACTGTAGCCCAATCTAATACCTCAGCCAAAGAAAGAATGCTTATAGACTTGGCGAACTTTTCACATTCATCAGGCGTAAGCTCTTCGTTGAGCGTTAACGTCATTGATGGCGTTGAAATATGATTACTTGCCGTCATAACAATTTCACGAAGACGTGGAATACCGAGTGTGACGTTCTTAGAAGAGTGACCAGCCAAATGGAAAGTGTTGAGTGTCATCTGTGTGGACGGTTCACCTACAGATTGGCCGGCAACAATACCAACAGCTTCACCAGGTTCAACGACAGACTTCAAGTATTTGGCAACAAGAACGGGTTCCAAAGCTTTCCTTGGTCCAACACCGTCTGGATGATCCTTGTCCTTGACCAAACCATCTGGGTTGGTCTTCATGTAGTTTGTCAAAGTCTCGAAATATTTCTCGGATGTCGCGTATCCATATTTTCCAGGGTTATATTCGGAGAGAACCGGATCTGGACCATTGAGATCATTTGCTTTCGCATGCTTCAAAGCTTTCTTCATCCGTTTAATGATGGTTTCCTTCTCTTCGAAAATAGTATCATAGCGAGGGTCGCCGTAGTTCAACTGGGCAAGCTCCGACATAAGATTCTGCAACAAGAACTTGAAATCGGTCAAATGCTTTTGCTTGGTCACATCGAGTCCATCTTCACCGTAGATGAATTGAATCATAGATCCGTCGGAATCTCGCACGGACGTATCGTACTCGACCTTAAGACCCTCCATACCCTTGATCAAGCATCTTTGTAGATATCCAGATCTCGAGGTTTTGACTGCAGTATCAATCAGACCTTCTCTGCCAGCCATTGCGTGGAAGTAGTATTCCTGTGGCCGAATTCCAGTCAAGAAACGATTGACGATATAACCTCCCGCTCTAATGTGCGTGTCGAATGGCTTGAAACAAGGAAGAGATTTTCCGCTCACCATCAACGGTACTCTACGTCCTTCCAAGACTTGTTGTCCCAAATTACAAGAGATAAGGTTGGCGTTGACAGCACTACCCTTGGCTCCAGAAACTGTCATATTCTGCATCTGGTTGTGCGGAAACTGCTTGACCAAGCCTTGGGGAAGGCATGCATTAGTAATAGAGGTAGAAAGCTTGCCGGCGCGAGCGTTCATCAACGCATCTAGACCTGCTTGTTTGGAATCGTCTCTCATTACATCCTCCAATCTATTGAGCAGCTCTTGATCGGTTTCGGTAGGTTTTTGATCTTCGAGAGACACGTACTTAGCAGCCACTTCAAGACCAATCTTACCGGCATCTGACAAAGTCTCGATACGGGTTTTCTCGCCTTCGGGTGTGAGCCTGAGATCATCCATTCCGCAAGTGAAAGCCCTCATGTGGAGATACTTCGTTAATAAACGACCAAGAATACTCAGAAGCTTTCCAGCTGTGGCAGGGCCATAGACCTCATGAACAGAGTGGATGAGACCACCTCCAGCAGGACCGATCTGTGCTTTGTCCAAGATTCCAGTAATGAACTCACCACCCTTAAAAAGTACAACGCCTTCCTCTGAGTCCGCACCCCATCGATCAGCTGGAGTTTGTGTTTTTCCTGTAAGAGATATTGGGGCGCAGTTGAGAGGTGTGATATTTTTTAATATTGTTGTGATGACCTGCTTTCCAGTCCAGCGTGCGACAGGTTTAATGATTGCAGGTGGCACAGTCTCTATGCGGTCGCCCACAATGTGTCCACTTTCTGGGCGAATACAATTGTAGATAAGTTGTTGATAAGTAGCTCGATCAAAGTATGTATCTTTGTTACACATCCAAACAGAAACGGAAATATGATCTTGAATCAGACCTCTCAGAGGTTTACCAGCGGTTGCACTAAGATATTGGTGATCAGTGTCAGCAATCTGTAACGCTTCTGCGCGAGCAACTTCTGTTTGTGGAAAATGCATGTTCATTTCGTCTCCATCGAAATCAGCGTTATAGGTGTTACAGTTGGCGTAGTGCATGCGAATTGTCTTCTCTCCTGGAAGTACTCTGGCTCTGTGACCCATTATCGAGGGCTTGTGCAGAGTTGGTTGACGGTTCATGAGTACCACATCTCCGTTGGTTAGATGTCGATAAACTTTCTTGTTGCGAGCACCGCTAGCTCCGTTACTGGACGATGCAAGCAACTGATTGGCTAGTGCCATTCTTTCGTCCTGTGTCTTTGAGCGTAAATTAATGACTTGCCCATTCTCATTTTCAATTGCAGCAGCACCAGGCCACTTGTCAACACCATTAATAACTGCTTGCTGCATTTCCTTGAAGTTATGACTTGTGACAGGTTCTGGGTATGTGAGCTTCTTGGCGAAAACAGGAGGAACACCGATTTCGTTTGTTTCGATATTTGGATCTGGAGAGATGACGGAACGAGCAGCAAAGTTGACACGTTTACCCATCATGTTCTTTCTGAAAAGACCCTCCTTTTTCTCCAATTTTTGCTTGATACCATCTTCGTTCTTCTTTCCAGCTGCACCTTGGATAGGATTTCGATCTCTATCAATCAAGGAATTGACAGCGTCCTGCATTGAACAACACGCTTCTTGGAGGTCAAAGAAATCTCTCTTTCTCAAAGTTTGGCTTTGCGATGGCCTGTCGGGATTCTGAATATCGAGGTAAATTTGGTTCACAGTATCAGCACTCTTCAAGATCTGCTTGTACAGTGAATTTTGTTGTGCTTCGGCAATTTCGCCATCGC